TTCAAAAAGTATTTTCATGTGTTTTGCTCAAGTTTTATATTCCTCAACATTCTTTTTTCTTTTTCATGGCAATGCAATATTATATTTGTTTCAGGTATACAAGATTGTGATTTGACAATTATGTAAATCTCTAAATGCTTATCATGAAAAGTGTAGTTACCATTTGTCAACATATGTAGATATTGACTGTATTCCTTATACTATACGTCCATCATTGTGAGTTTATAACTGGGAGTATATACCTCTTTGTCACATTCACCTATTTTTCCCTGCCCGTCGCTTTTGGCATCCACCAGTCTATTCTCTGTTTATGTGTCTACATGTTTTTGATGCTGAAATTCTTGTTCATGGACTCAAAGAATGAACTTCACAAACACTCAAGGTAGGAGAGCTGAGGAGAGGCTTGTATTTAGAAATAAAGTGAGAGGACAGAGCTCCTGGCTCATGCCAGGAGGGGACAAGAGAACCCTGGGGTGGTGCATTGTCTAAGGGATATACAGGAGGTTAAGAGACAAAGGACTAGGGATGCAGACCTGCTAAGTGGTCCCAAAATGTTTATCTTTGAAGAGACATTAAATTTATTATCAGTCTTCCAGGTTATTTATAAGAAATTTACTGCTCTGATTTCCTCCCAGGATAGCAGCTTCCTGGTCTGGAAGCATATCAATCAAGACTGCCTGCTTTGCTCCCGAGGTGGGCTGAGTTATTGTCTGTTTGTTAAAGAGTATGTTAAGAAACTTACTTTTTTAACTAACTGGGTGTTAAAATGCAGTCGTATCTTCAAGATGGAATCTTTCCTGTTTTTTCTAAATTGTTTGGGCCTGCTTGCTAAATCAATTGCCCAGGTTGCAAATCACTTGATTAGGGCTGGAGGAGGAAAAAAGCAGCACCTGGGTAAAGTCAAAAAAATAAACTGGGCCCCCAGCAGGTCAAAGTAAATCTCACAATGAATTATCTTGCTTTGTTTTTTTCCGGAGGCCCTCACCCTTCTCTGTCTAAGCCCATGCTCCCTATCTCATTTTGTTTGCTCATTTGTTTTATTTCTTAGATTCCACATGTAAGTGAAATCATAAGGTATTTATCTTTCTCTGACTTCACTTTGATAATACCCTTTAGGTCCCTTGGTGGATGTTGTCACAAATGACAGGATTACATTCTTTTTATGGCTGAGGAATATTCCATTGTATGTATGGATCACACCCTTATTCATTCAGCTATTGATGGACATTTAGACTACTTCCATATCTTGGGTAGGGTATTAAGTGCTGCAGTAAATAGGAGCGCATACTTGTTTGCACATTAGTGATTTTGTTTTGTGCGGGTAAACTGCCAAAATTGTAATTACTGGCTCGTGTTTTTCTATTTTCAGGTTTTTGAGATACCTGCATACCGCTTTCCTACCGGTACACGCACAGGTATGGGAATCAAACTGTGATTGGCCACGGGACCCAGAAGTGTCCCCAAAGGCACCTTCCGAGCATACGTGGGAAGTAAGCTGTAGCCGCCGTGCTCCGTGCGCACGCCCGGTTCGCAGCGGAAGTACCTTGCGCGCTCGCGCTAGTGTGGGGCGCGCAGTGCCCTGTGACCCGCCACCGTCTGGTACCGCCAGCTTCCGGCATGAAGGGCTGGGGTGGCGATACTGGCTCCTCCTCACTCCAGCGCCATGGAATGCCTCCGGAGCCTGACCCCACTCCTGCCTCGCGCTCTGTGGCCGCCTCAGCGCAGCCTGTGTGCTCTGGCCCTGGGCCTGACGCCCGCGGCTCGCCCTGCTGCCGCTTGCACTACCGCAGCCAAACCGCTGGGACGGACCCGGGCCGCGCTGCTGTGCAGACCCCGCCCCCGCCTGCAAGGTACTGCCCTCCCCGTTCCGCGGGGAACTCGGGTCCCTGACCTTGCCGCCCGACCGGGCTCGGCTGTGGCCGCCCCGCCCCGCGTTCCGTTCAGGCCGTGGCCTGCCGGCGCGCCCTAGGGCGGCCCTGCCCTCTCTCAGACTTGCACAGGTCCACAGACCCAGCTGCCACCCACCGCCCCCGAGGGCGGCTGTGCCGTGTGCCCTGCTAGGGACCTCCCGGCCGAGCCCTCCTTACTCACCGCCCCTTGGTGTAGGTCTCCCCGCTTAAGTGCTCTTGTGAGAAGGGTTGTTTTTTTTTATTTGCCTTGTTTTGTTTTTAACAAGTTAGACCCTTTTTCGTCAAGGTAGTTCTGAAGTCAAGATTGGGTTCATCTACCCGGAGTATTTTTATGAATATTAATTTATTTTCTCTGTCTTCTATCTCTTTCTTATGAACACACTTATGCGTTTGTCCCATCGCTCAGGTAAGGGGTGGGAAGGCACCTAGAAATGAGGCCGAAAAGTTGAGATTTCATGGTAGATGTTCCTGAGAAAAATCTCTGTTCAAGCACCATGTAACCAATAGCCTTACGGGGTGTGGGGGAGAGTGATGTATTTTTTTTCACCAAATAATAAAACATTATAATGTTTGTGGTGATATATTAACATTTTCATAGTGTGAGAATGTGGGTGCTAATATTGCTTAGAAACAAAGGACATTAAAATGTATGGCTTCCCAAAAATATTGCACTGTCCTCAAATAAATTTTCTGCTGTACTCTGAAAAGCATCCCAGAGTAACTCACCATCACCGCCTCATTCTCCACACTCACTGGAGAGTCTTTCTGAATTGTGTTGTATATCCCATACTCTCTCCTTCGATACTTGGGAAACAAGTTGTAATGTTATAAGCCAAACACTGAGATTCAGAATCTCTGTCCTGGTAATACTTTATCTAATCTGGAACTGATTAGGAAATGCTGATATATAGTTCTTTTACTTTTATTCATCTATTATAATTTGTATTTTGTAAAAGGGAAACAACATACCTCAGATGCTAAGATTATATGTATCAGATGCCTGTAATGGGAAGGAATAAAATCAAAAGTGACAATATGTCAACATCTGTGGGATCAGCATGATTTCTTTGGAAACATAAATAATTGGTAATATTTTTATACCTTCTGCCCATTCCACTTATGTTTAGTGTTTTTACAGTGTTCTTTGTCAGTCATTAAATTTACTTGTACTTCAGAGATTAGCTCAACTCAGTCTAATCAAATGTTTTAAAGAGATTTATTTTCACATAAATATTTGTCTTCATTCACTGGGTTATTTCGTAAGTATTCACTGTAAAGTACTGTGGAAAATAAGTTAATACATAGAAGTAAAATCTGTAGGATCCTGATACTGGAATTCTGAAAGGTTAGGTGGTATTTGTGATTTATGTTTCCTGGAGTTTATCTACCAATGTAATTTGCATGAAGAGCCTTTTTAGGTATGCAAAAAGAATTGACATTTTCTTGTACTTTCAGAACACTGTGTTGTACATTGTTCCTCCAGTTTTGAGATATCAATCATAATTAGGGGAAATAGGGGTTGGAATCCATGAATTATTCTATTGTGTCATCTAAGCCATTTTTTTAAAAGTTATTCCCCACCAAACCTATATAATCACAAATATGAAGATTAACAAAAAGTATGTTTCTTATTTTTTCTCTTGGAAAAAAGTTTCAAAAAACAGTAAAATAGTCTGAAGACCTCTACATACTGTGAGAGTTGTGCCTTACTATATGTGAAAAACAGTCATCTGGTTACAGGGAATTCTCTAATTCATTCTTCAGGTGAAGTGTACCATTCTAGAACTTCTGATGTCTCTCAAGCCACTTTAGCCAGTGTAGCCCCCGTGTTTACTGTGGTGAGTATGAATGGTACATTTGATAACTTACAGAAAGTACTCCCATACTTAAGTTAACTGGGTTGGACTCGTGGGCCAAGATATTATTTTTTGTTTTATAATGAATCACTAAACTTACAAGTCCTTTTGTCTTTGTGTTTTGCTTAGCTGTTGACCTGAATGCCAGCAAGATTTGCTTAGCAGCACTCTTGAAACTTTGTTAATGACTGTGGAGCCCTTCTTTTAATTACTGTTCTTTTAGTTAATCAGGTTGTTCAAATCACAGTTCAGAGTTTCCTACTTGAATACTCAAAATGTCCCCTGATCTATTTAGAAGTCCTTGAAGGCTGTTAGTCACAGAGGGGCTTGAACCTGTGCTGTGAAAAATAATATACACAGAAACATTTTGAAGGAAGCACAGTGTAGTATTTAAGAGTGCATGAGTTGAAGGGTGATGACTTCTGCAACTTTCTTTGAAATGATTCAGGAAGAAATAAAATAACAAGAATAATGTGCATCACACACATTAAGAGAGTGAAAAAAGGCCACAGGGGCCAGATGTTAAAAAAGGGTGAGTGTAGATGAAAGTTACATGGGAATTCATTGTAATATTCTTGCAACTTCTTTGTAGGCTTTTAATTTTTTTTAAGGCTTAATTAAAAAATAAGTGTGCTTCTCTGAGCCATCATTCCCAAATTCAGATCTCAGTTCTGCTTCTTACTATTAACTGGGTGGCGTGGTCAGGTTATGATATCTTTGTGCCTTAGTTTTCTCATCTGTAAACTGGGGATAATAATAATACCTACTTTATGGAATTGTTGTGAGGTTTTAATTAACTCACTTGTACTGTATGTAAAAACCTTTGAGAGTAGTGCTTCACACGTGTAATCATTCTGTATCTATTAGCCATTATCATTATTATTTAGACTTATTAACATAAGAACTTTTCTTTATAAACTATACAAAATGAATAGCCCCCAGAATTACATGTAAAAGTTACCACTGTTACTCAATGGCCTGGAAGAGTTGGCCAGTGTAGTTAAGTACGAAAACAAAATCAAATATTAAATTTTGAAATAAGGTTCTTTGTAGCAGAAATCATTGTCTACTAAGTACACTTAAAATCAGTTCGTGCTATTTGAAATAATGAAATAATGAGAGTTAAGTTCTGTGAAATGTGAGTGACATTACAAGGTAAACATTTTTTTAAATGGTAGTTTGAATGACCTTTTTTTATCAAAAAAATCCCATTAAAGGAAAAGATACAGGTAAATATGCAAAAATATTCAACATGTGTTGTTAAGTTGAAAGTGAGGGTAGACTCCAATAAGTGTGTGTAAAATGAATATATTTAATGGGATAAAGTCTGGAAGGATATTTGGTAAAATATCAGTTTTCTTTAAAATTTATCATTTCAGGTGATTAGTTTTATTTTACTTTATTTTCAAATTTTCTGCTGCAGATATATGTTTGTGAAATAAATTTAAAGAGAAGAGCTAGTCTCTTTGACCCAAAACATGAAGCTTCCTTTATTGTGAATTTCCCTTTAACACTAATGTTTTAGGGTACTCGTTATATATTCATATCTATCTTTGCTTAGGAGAAGCAAGCTAAAATATATATTGTGTTTTTGTGTGTTTTTGACACAGCACACATATGTTCCCATGGTAATAACACAGGACTTGTACCTACAACTGTGTTTTAGAGAGTGTCTTTCTGAAAGTGTATTTAATAGTACTTAGTGAAACACAGCACATAGTGATTCATTAAATATTTTCTGACATTTTCAAACTTGACTGTGGACAAGTATTACAGGAAAATGTTTGCTTTGCTTTGCTTTACAGGAAATAAGTACTTTTTCTACATTGTGTCCTTTCTTCATTTGGAAGAGAACTTTCTCTAAATATTGATTCCACAGTGCTCACCAGAGAAACTTCATTGGCCTCCAGTAGATACTTAGATTCACAAGATAAGCCACACTTGGTCGCAGACTATTCAGAAAGACAAAGGATAAGAAATGCAGAAGGAAAGCATCAGGTGTTTTCACTTCAAAAGTCCTTATAGCTATCCAGGCTTCTCTGGCCCCCTCTGTGACATCTCCGGTACAAGGAGATAATATTCTCAAAGGTGGTATGAGATCCACCTTGGCTTAGAATCCCCACGCTTTCTAATGCCAGTATCTCTTGCAATTATCTCAGTCACATCCAGGACTCCCAGAAGGAACGGGGCAGTTACTAGAGCCACCACAGTAGGGGTAAAGCAAACTATAGCCTCCCACCAGGTATCTGCTTAATTGGTTTATAGTCTTCCCAGTCCAATGCAGTTTGTCAACCACTGGACATTTATACCATAAGCAATGTTGCATAGTAAGACAACTAACATTCCTTTATCAGATTTGCAGAGGAACCAAGATAATCCAAGGTCAGATTTGGAAATCTGGGGAATAGGGAATTTTTTAACCCGTAACTCATAACTGAATTTAACCTAAAGAAGGGCAGTTATTGTTTATATCTGCATTTCAGTATTTGGGAGATACAATGCCATGGTGGTATAATCCCATAAATAGCATACTAATTTGGGAGAAAATAATATTTTGTTTTTATTATCTCTCTTCAGACAAAATTTGACAAAGAGGGAAGTGTTACTTCTTTTGGTGAGTTTAGTTTTCTTCTAAATCACTTTCTTAATCAATGAGTGAGTGAATCTGATGGAAATCAAGAAATTGTGACTTTTCCGTAGAATATTCTTTGTGTTTATGGGTGTGTTAAAGGAGCTCTTTCTTCAGCATTGGACTGTATGTATTCTTCCAGAGTTTTTTTTCCTGTCAGAAACCCCTTTTGCCCTAATATTCCTATTAAAGGAATATTTTGGAGAAGAGAGGCTGGTGTGCAGCTGGGGCAAACAGTTTTCCTTTTTGTTTCCCTTTAGTGTCCCTTTCACTTCCCTCATACTCACATTCATCTATTCCAGTAGCATGTTTAAAGCAGAGTCACATAATGCTACTGACAGTGCAGTGGCAGAGACAGGAGGGACAGGCCACTGGATGGCAGTGAGATGGAACTCTGCCCAGGATTGCTCTTATGGACAGTTCCATTAAGAATGAAACTAAGTGTTATTTGCTCTCTAACCTCACGTGCAATTTCAGATCTCCCATCCCTGCCAATCCCATGATCCTGTTTCTGCTGTTGCTGAGATCCTACTAAGATAATTTGTGTTTTTTGCTCAATATCTCCTTTAAGAGATTGTTCTCCTTAGAGCTCTAAGTGGCTCTTTTTGAGGTTTCAGCTTTTGCTTGATGCTGTAAGTACAAATATTACTGTAACCAGGATCATTTTTGGGAGTATTTTCATCTGTTACACTTTCTCTTAGGTAATAAAATTTAGTTTTCAGGTAGGAGAATCTAGTGTGAGAACTGACTTAATTTTCCTATTTTTATATTATTCCAAGGTGAAGATTGAATTACCTGTTCACAGATTTAAAATACTGAGGATGGTAATGTGGCTAGAAAAAATAGAGAACAGCTCTGTATAATTCACATTAAACATTCCTAGAACTAGAAATTAATCTTGTAAGTTATAATAATGTACAGCTGTGGTTTTGATACTGGCCCCTTTCTTAAGTTCAGAGAAACGTTATGAAGTAGGGATACAAAGGGAGAAGAATAGTATTTGACCAGATTTAGCTTGAATATGTTTTTGAGATAAAAATGGGTATTAAAAAGACTCCTTTTAGCTTTTGTTTCTGGTAATAGAAAATTATCTTGGTGGAGGGAGGGGTACAATTAAATAAAAATTTAAACTCATTATTGGTTTAGCCCACCATATTTATTGAAACTACTTGTCTTATAGAAAGGAAGAAAACTGATTTACATCAAGAATTAGGTCTTCAAGCCAGAGATTTGAGGTTTCAGCATCTCATGAGCATCACAACCAGAAATAATAGGATTATTATGAGAATGGAGGTAAATGATTTTATTTCATCTACATTTCTCCACTGTGGTCCTATAAAAGTTACTTCCTGACTACCTTGATCAATATCTAGATTTAAGTAATTTTGTAATGAAAATAGCTGTGAAACAATTTACTTAATAATATAACATTATTATAAATAGAATGCATTTAATGTGGATTATATGCATATACTCAGGAGGCATAACATCGTTCTATTTTATGTTGGAAAAATATATGACTGTGGTCTCCATTCTCACTGTTTGAATTCAGTCTCTAGTTTCTGACATGATAAGAAAGAGAATCTTGGTTTATAATAGACATTTTCATTTGTATAAAGTTGTATGTAATTATAGTGTAACTTCAGCTACCAAGAAAGTACTGTTCTTCCAAAAAGCCCAGAATATCCTTAGAGTTTATAATATTAATTTAAATTTTCTAAGATTTTAAGCTTTCTAAAATACATTGCATCCTCCCCTGACTACATCCTATACCTAACCCAATTTGACTTACCTTACTGACTGAGAATTAATATGAACATGTTATTTTGGTGAGCTAAAGTTTGGTGTTCATAAATAGATTAGAAGACACAGGTCTCAATGATGTTATCCCTGAAGTGGACATAAGACTTACTTTCTTCAAGGAAGTCTTTGATAGCAGGTTTTTGTTCATTTGTCTAGAATTTTTTAAAAAGTGAAAGCAGTCTTCCAAATGATTTTCTCCCGAAACCATTCTTTTGTTATCAGTAGCTCCACCCTTCAAAACAGTATCTCTTTGATGGTGAGAGAAATGTGTGATAAAGCAAATTTAGCAGAATGTTAATTGTATAAATGGTATGTATACAGATGTTCACTGTATAATTTTTCAACTTTTCCATATAAAAATTTTCATAATAAAATGCTGGGGAGAATATAAAGTCTCTAATTTTTATGGCACTAATACAGTGGTCACAGCCTTCCCTTCTATGTTACTCTTCTAAACAAAAGATGCCAGGCTTTCTTTCTCTTTAGAATAAATTTCTAATTGCATAGTGTTCCATATTAGAGCACTAAGGTTATGTTTTATTTTTATAATTTGAAATAGTTTAATATGTTTTGGTGATATTTTAAAAAGGAAACTTTCCCATTTCAGCCAAACTAATCATGATTCTTTTCTAATCTATTGAATACATGACTTTTAGGATACCCTGTTTCCTTTATTCCCTGTTTTTCTCATGACTACCCAAAGTCTTAATAAATATAATTTAATTCCAATTCTGTTGAAAGTGAGTTAGATATATCAAGATTTACATATATTTTAGGGATACTTTTTTTTAAAAGTCTTGTTTTGTTTTTTTTTTTAAGCCAAATGAGTGATTTAGTTTAGGCTTTATCCAAAATTAATAGAGTGTTAAGCCCTATTTTATGAATGTTATTTTTTTTTCCTATAGGTCTACAACTTGTATATATGCATGTATGTATGTCTGTATATACATATATATATGGGTTTTTTTCTTGCTTTTTTACAGTATTTGAAAGCTGTGATAACTCCAGAGTGTCTTCTGATTTTAGATTATCGTAATTTAAATTTAGAGCAATGGCTATTCCGGGAACTCCCTTCACAGTTAGCTGGAGAGGGTCAACTTGTTACATACCCTTTACCTTTTGAGTTTAGAGCTATAGAAGCACTCCTGCAATATTGGGTAAGCCTGTTTTTATTTACTTTCTTGAATTTGTTCTGGGTTTAAAATGCTATTGAGTAGGAAGACAATTTGGTATTGTTCAATGGCACGTTCCCTAACCGCACCCTCCCCCCAAAACAAAAACATCTCTAAGGATGATGTATGGAGAAAGTACTTAATTCTTAAACTTTATGACCTAATCAAATAGATCTAAAGTCTCTAGGCATAGTATGTAGAGTCTCTGAGAGTCACTTATGACATTCAATGAAGCACATTTCAAGTTGGCTATCCTTTGTACAATTTTAATAACTGTGGCCAAGGGTGGTAATTTAAAATAACCTCCTAGATAATGATATAAATGAACGTATCTAAAAAGTTTCAAATGTATTCCATTTTATTCTCCAAATTAAATAGCATGTATATTGTAAAATTGCTTGCTTACCTGGGATAAATATTATAGCACAAATCGTTCCAATTCTTTCAAAATCATGCCTTGATTAGTTTGTACAATCCTTTATGTATACAAATCCAGCTAAATGATACCTCTGTTTGAGACCCAAATTGAAATAGGAATCATGTACAATTCTTCTAATGAATTCCCCATTTTACTGATAGTCATTGAGTGTCTGGGGATCCTGTCAGGCCCTGAACAAAGATGGTTATTGCTTTTCTGGCCCCCACAAATCCTTCATTATCTTTTCTCCTCCTAGTAGTTAGGATAGTACTGTCAGGAGCTGGCTGCATGCCAGAGTTGGTGCTAGGAGCATGCGAGCCACAGTGGGAGGAGGAGCAGTGAAGGGAACATGAGATGGATGGAGATCGGGTGAACCTGGTACTCTTCTCTTTTGCCGGCCTTGCTCTACTGAGAGAGTAGGAGATGGCTACATTCCCTGCTCAGGGTAATTAAGTGACAGTACCAACTAGTACCAGCCAGTGGGACGGTGACTAATTAGAGCACAGTTGATAAGCAGGGGAAGAGGTACAAAGAATGGTCAGATATGCAGGCTGAGTAAGCTCTTAGAAGCTCACGCTGAAATAAACGTGCTGGAATTTATATCATTAATTTTACAGCTTAATTCAATTCTTTATTCAGTTGTTTACCAACTAGTAAGGAAGTATTTCAATATTTTAACTACTAGTGTATAGCTATATAAATGCAAATCTGCTGAATATCAACCATGCTCATATTAACCTGAATAATGGGAAGTATACTCTGACCTTACACTGATTTTATTTTTTAAAATCCAAGTTACTTTTTGGTTTTCAGAAGAGTTTTGTTTATAGGAATGACAGGGATATATTGAGGGCATACTGTGTATTCTGTTTACAAAGAACATAGATATTGTTTACCAAATGTAAAGTTTGTGTTTTAACCACAGAATGTCAGGTTTTATTTTAATTAATCAATCCTGTATTCCTTTCATAATAAGGGTTTGTAGGGGTTAGACCTCTGGGAGTTAATTCTTTGTCAACCAAATGTGATCTTACCACATTATGCATAGTTAACCTTTTAACCGAGGAGACTGAGGTTTTGAATTATCTAAAATAGGCATTCCAGCAATGACCACGTTGTGAAATGTTACCAGCCTTCCTAGCTGTTACAGATTTCCATATTTAATCAGAGGTTCCCTGACCATGAGTATTGTAAGAGGACTGTTTTAATTCTTATGAAAGGCCATGTCATTATCTAGATCAACAGTCTGCAGGGAAGACTTAGCATTTTGGAACCACTGATCCTTGAGACATTGGAAGCTTTAGTGGATCCCAAATATTCTTCTGTAGACAGAAGCAAACTGCACATCTTACTACAAAATGGCAAAAGGTAAATATGGGTGATTTACCAAGTTGGGAGATAGACACAAATATCTTAATCTTTCAGTAGTCTTAACTGTGAAATGTTTAGCATAAATTCAGATACAAAATTAGTGTGATTACTACCTGTTTTTAAAAAACATCAACTAGTCTTGCTGAATGGTAATGACTTACTCTTAGTGCCTTCAAAATAGGAAAATAGGCTGGGAAGGTGGGGCTAAAAGGGCCACACAGATTAATGTTCATTGAAAGTCTATTTTGCATGAAAGGCTATAATAGGCTCTTTAATGTATTTTTGGTTTAGGAATTGATTCTTAATCTGCTTGGTCAGTACTGAAATGATACCCTAAAAAGACACCATTCTTACAGTGATATGTTTTTAAGTTTATGTTATTGATCATTTCTATAGAACTACTCTTACAGTCTTTCAGAATTAGAAACAGATATTAAAACTTTCAAAGAGTCAATTTTGGAAATCTTAGATGAAGAAGAGTTGCTTGAAGAGCTTTGTCTAACAAAATGGAGTGACCCTCAAGTCTTGTAAGTATGTAATCATGCTTTGTTATTTATTCTCTTTGGATTAACTTCTGTCTTTTCTTCTTCAGGATGATTTTTCATAGGGAACCTAACATTTTTCTGGAATAAAGAATATGGGCACTTTTCATCCCCAATCATTTCACTGTTTCTCCATTCTATATTCATCTAAATCAGTTTAACAAGGATATATTTAATACATACTGTTTACACAACACTGCATGGCTATAATAAACATAAAGATAAGCACACCATCACCTTTGTCTTCAAGGGACTAACTGCCAGAGTGGTTCACACATCTACCTAAATAAGTTACCTACAGAGTACAGTGGCAGAGAGGAATGACATGGGGGGGGAAGGAGTGGGGTGAAGGAAGATGAGTAAGATATCAGCATATTTCTGTAAATTTGGTGTAATATGAAAATGCGCATCTTATAAACTTCTTATCTCTATGAATTTAGAAATCATTTACTCTTCTTGTGCACACTCAAATGTATGCTTTTTAAGTACTTAAAATATTTCATTTTTCTTTGTAGACCAATATGAGAAATTAATATAGACACCTTTGTACAATGTAGTTTCCACAGTCTGTATAGATAATTTTTAAGCATTTTGGGAAATTAGTTATTTATATTTTAACAAGGAAAATTATTAGAACAGTCTGTCTCTAATATGATTTATGATATAAATATCTTTTACAGAGTTCTTCATTCTCACTTATCCTCCCCGCTAGGATGGAAGGTATAAGTTAAGGGGGGCAAAATAGCTATGTATTGACATCATTCAAAAATATTTTTTTCATATATGAAAATGGTGTTACACTTTACCTTGGAAAGGAAATGCTCTGTATGTTCATCTTTCATTTTTGGTTTTGTTTTACCTGATTTACACTAATTTGCAATAATTCATCAGTATTCACACATCTGGATTTTCCTGTAATTTGTAGCTTGCATTTTCAGGAGAGTCCCTCAAGTTGGGGCCATACAGTGACTCTGATGAGCCTATTTAGGGATGGAACCCTGTGCCCTGACTTATCTTTATAATGTTAATGATCAGCTGATAAAGCTATGCACAGATTGCCCTCAATCGTAATAGAAAAGACAAAGGCTAGTGTTTTCCCTTGGTAGCTGAATACTCCAATTCAGGAAGTTTTTTGATAGTAACTGTATGATGTGTGTGCATTGGGGGCATATTAACTCTGGATAGAGAATATAGGCACCTTTCATCCCTTTCTCTCCCACTTTTAATTAAGTGAAAAGAGCAGTACTGGAATTGACCATGCAGAAGAGATGGAGTTGCTGATGGAAAACTACTACCGATTAGCTGAAGATCTTTCCAATGCAGCTCGGGAACTCAGGGTACTGATTGATGATTCTCAGAGTATTATATTTATCAATCTGGACAGGTAAGAAAGCACGGTATAAAACAACCAGTATATTCTTAATAAAATAATTATAAAATAGTAAAGCTTTTAAGAAACTCATTTTGGAATAAATTATGTCATCTATAACTACTACATGGAAGCATGTCTTTTTAAGTGTAGATTTAACCCATGTGGTCTTCAATAGATTACTTAGTGAATTTGCTGATCTAAGTAGGTGTTCTCCCTCCAGCCATCGTAATGTTATGATGAGGTTGAATCTACAGTTGACCATGGGAACCTTCTCTCTTTCACTTTTTGGACTAATGGGAGTTGCTTTTGGAATGAATTTGGAATCTTCTCTTGAAGAGGTGAGAATGTATCAATATGCTGTAATACATATAAAATTAAGGCAGTACTATTATATCCATTATCACATAGGTAGAATTATAGCCTAGGTTACCTCATGTTTCCCAAAACAAGTAACTACGTAGAAGGGTTTGATAAAACAGCATTACACTGTAAGGCAGTGTTAATGAAGGATTAATTTTTCATTTTCATTCTATGTGAAAATCCTGTTCATCAAATTTGCAACTCTCTTGTTTTAGCTTACACTAACTGATCCAAAATTGATTCATGCTGGAATCAAATATTATTATGGTAGTTAAACCAAATGGTGATTTTATCATTCTAACACTACTCCTACATTTATCAGTTGTAAGGTAGAGCAGTCCCCTTTTCTCACAGTTACTCATTTATATCTCTATGGGTTCATGTGGTTTTATTTTAGTCAGTGAGTTATAATTCATCATTACTATCTTTATTATGATGCTCAAATTGTGCCTTTCATGCTGGCTTCTGAATACTTTTGACATGTCCCCATCAATCTTTAGTGTTTTAGCCTCTGGCATATAAAGATGTTCTGAGTATCTTCTGAGTGAATAGATTGACTAAACAGTGGAGGGGATGAAGAGCACCAGAGGTATGAAAAGCATGCATGCAGTACTGCGGGACATGCCCAAAGCAGAGGGAGCATTAAATCTCCAACTCTCAGATACTTGTCCCTTCCCTTACTTTCTTATAAGTCACATACTTTACTTGTGTATGTGTTTTAATGAGAGAGGGAATTTTGAGGTTGGTTTGAACTTGCTTACCTGTTAAGTTTATCACATTTTGACATTCCCAAACTTTTGATTTATAGGGGATTACAGAACCAATCTACAGCACAGACAACAGTAATCTTTATATGCTAGATCTTATTTAAACATAATTCTTACTTGATAAATTAGGACCCTCTGTTTTGATTAACTGGAAATGTGCTAGTCCACAAAAAGTTAACTTAAATTAGCACTTGTCTTCTTTGATATCTTATATCTAACATCTTAACTTCATGTTAAAAGGAGGTACATTTCTGCTTCATTTATGGCATGAATTTCAGTCAGTGGATAACTGATCACTTATGTAACAGATTACGTTAGGGGGAAGTGAGCTGTCAGTCACTGGAACTAACTAAGCCATGGTTGATAATCAACTGATGGCATACTTGCAGATGGGATTCCTTCTCTGTGTGAGTTTCAATACAAATTCTGATTCTGTACATAAACAACACAATTTATGACACTGCAAAAATAATACAATTTTGAAAGTGACACTGAAGGAAAAATATTTACTGTAAGTCAGGAGTCCCCAAACTTTTTTCGTTCATGATGCTTTTAAGTGTCTTAGTGATTTTTTCACAGCATCCCTAGAACAGAGCTTAGTTTCTGCTATCTTAACTAAGAGTTTATGAAGTAAATCAAAATAACTTAAGAGTAGTAGTTGTCATGGTATTCCAGTATTACTGCATTTTCCTTGAAAACCTGTAATATTCTGGGGTGCTGTGATACCTAGGCCGCTTGATGCTCAGTTTGAGAACTGTTGCTATATAAGGAAAAAATTGAGGTTGTCCTGTGTGATTATAACTACTGGAATTTGTATGCATATAAACAAACACTGGAGGAAAACACAAAGTGAAGCAGTTATGTTTAAGATTTCAAAATATTTAAGCCCTTTTATATTGTTTTTCTTTTGATGTTTTCCTGATTCTTTATCTTTGGGTGTCATAAAGATACTTGTTCTTAGTGCCTTTCTATAACAAGAAAGGACAATAATAATTCAGGAATTTTATTGCTAAGGACCCTAGCTTTCTGTGATTGAAATTAAATATGTGTTTTCTTTTAGGACCATAGATTGTTTTGGCTGATAACAGGGATTATGTTTATGGGAAGTGGCCTAATGTGGAGGCGTTTGCTGTCATTCCTTGGACGACAACTAGAAGTTCCTTTGCATCCTATGGTATGAAGGGTCTGGTTCACAGCAGTTTAGCAGAGGGGTTACTCTCATGGGCTCTAAAAGTCATATGTCCTGGGCTTAAGTTGTTGAAGGCTTTATGACCCTGAACAAGTTATTTCTCTAAGACTCCCTCAGTTTCCCCATCTGTCATTTAAGTTAGTACCACCCGCTTCGTACTGTTAATGAGAGAAATAAGATACGTAAAGCATTTATTAGCATAGTGCCTGGCACAATAAACAAGAAGTATTTGTGGAACATTGTAACAAGCAGTATACATTTAGACAGATGTAATTCTGGTGCAGATTGTGTCTTAACCAAAATGGAAATGTAGAAAATATACTGTTCCCATGAAGAGTTTATCTCCTTTTTTCTACTTGTCATTTACCACCCTGAAATAAGTACTTAAGACACTGATACATGGCTTGCGGTCCTTTCAGTTAGTAGCTATCATTTTGCTGCTGGCTTTTCTTTTAAGACAGATAAACAAAAATGATTAATTTTTCTGCTTTATTTAGATTTCCTCTGTACCTAAAAAGACCCTTCAGGCAGATATAAGGATGGAAGTGAAACACAGCCTAAGGCCAGATGGACTTGGATCAAATAGGAGTGTCCTAACAAATCGTTAGGAATAGCCTGGTGGAAACTGAATTATTTTTTTTATGGTAGTCACACAAACTTCTGATAACTCTTACTACTTTTTAATAGAGTCGAAGATTTGAAAAAAATAAAACACTGATATTTTGTCTGATGATAAAGTTGCGGCAGTCCAATAGTAGAACTTAATTGTATTTTGAGTAAAGAAGCAAAGTGTTTGGTTTCTAAAAGGCCAAAATTTTATCTCCTACAATCTTAAAAAGCTGTTTTTATAGATAAGGTGTGAGTCATGGAGAGAACAAAGCAAGAATAGATTGTGTATAGGTTTTATTTAATGTATACATATCAAGAAAAGTGCAGTCTCCTGCCAGACAAAGCCTGGAAACAAACCCAGTTATGGGATCAGGTAGATGTAGTTCTTACTATACGGAATCACATTCTTGCAAATTTCTTGATGTTCAAGTGACTATAAAGCTAGCAAAATATATATTAACCTTAAAACAAACTCTGGAAGTTTATGCTTTAAGTCAGTCTTTGACATAACCTTATGTTTTGTATTTGCCTTCTTTTTATAAAAGGTAAATAAAAAGGAAAGAACAGCTTTATATTAGATTACAGTTAATACTTCAATTTCTTTNAGGACAGAGCTCCTGACTCAAGCCAGGAGGGGACAAGAGAGTCCCAATTTCTTCACCCCTGAAACTGTTTTTCTTTGCTTGGCTATAATTAAAGCCTTTGGAAATAGATTTGAAAGAAAGTATTTCCTGTTACTTTATAAAAAGCTGCTTTGGTCATTCCCTGATTTTAAGAATATATGGATGTGTCACCCCAACACCTCTCCCAAGAAAGGGAAATGTATGCCTACCCTTCAGAGGTTGATGGATGGGCTTTCTGAAATAAGAGAGTCAGCTTCAGAATTGTGATCTTTCTGTTTTCACAGTTTTTAAAAAATGGCTGAGATTTGTGTCTCAAAGCTGCTATCCTACTTAATATGTTAACTACCATTTTTATATTTTCTAGAGGTTAAATATAGCTCTGCAACAGAACATGTTATATTTGCCTCCAGAAGTAGCATGCGTGAAAGAGTAGAGTATCCAGAGCAGCTCTTGTACTGCGATTGTAGTAATAAGAAAAAAAAAATGCATACCCTATTGTTTTAGAGGTTACCTCACATCCTAATATGTCATATAAGTTTAGGGGTCCAATTACCAAGTGGTATGGTGACAGGAATAAAAGTGTTATTTCAGTAGATGATTTGAGAGAAAACAGATAAAATGATAAGCAGTTTTCCTCATTCCTATGTGGCGTTATGAGAAGCCATTAAAGGGAAGCTAAAGAATAGAATGTCACAAAACAGACTGCCCTTGTCTTGGAGCACTGAGTGACCCATTTGGCACCTTGCGGGTAAGGAGCACAGTTTATGGTGTGGCTCTTGGAATGTGAATATATAGTGCCCTCTAGCATCATAAACCTGTTGGATGATTGATTTTTAAGCAAGTATTGTTACATGTTTGTACAAAGTTTCTTTGATAATAATTAGATGTCATGGGGCACTTTGGCCCACCTCACAGCACTCTGTTTGGATCTTATCACTGTAAAATATGTAATACTTACATTACTTAACTGTGACACATGGAGAATTGGAAGCTCAGACAGCAAAATCTGATTTGACTGAGGTCAGGCATGGGATAGAATTTTGGCTTTTTTCCCTTTTAGAGTTACTTATAGTTTGGGGTAATTTTTTTGATGAGTAATAAAAAAATTGTAAGTAACATCATCAATAAAAATCAGTAAAAGGGAAAGTAACTGCAGCTACCTCATAAGTATAATAAAGAAGTTACTGATGGTTTATAAAATTCTTGAAGTTGTTTTGATCAAGTATGATTTCATAGTATCAACTAGCTCTGCTTTGGTGATAGGAGGATGCTTCTTATATTAAAGTTCTTATAAAACAGAGCCTATGCCCCCCCAAAAAAGTGACTTTAAATTTTGAATTAAAGTGGACCGAACACAAACTTTTTGAATACCAAACATTTGGTTAAGTGTATAAGCAAGCAGTCATATCTCTTTTTAACATGTACAAGTGCAACGAATGGTAATTCTTAACAACTGTCTTTGTCTTGAGGTGGCCTCTAAGAAAATGTGACTTCTAAAAAGAAATGTCATTTTAGGATGCTATTAACATTTGCTTTATTTTTGATAAACATAAACATAAGCTTTTATAAATAGCCACTAAACAATATATTAGAAAGCTATTTTTTTTGGTAAGCTATTCCAAGAGCTATACACAGTTTTATTTTTTGGAATTGCATTATCTAACTCACACTGTGAATTAAGGATTTACTTTTATTGCTTTAGTTAATACTTTGAGAAGTAGTCTAACGAATGGTACATGAAATAGGGAATGCAGAGATCCAAATTTACTCCCAGGCTCACTTCAGATCTCTTTAAGTCTGATACAAAGGCCTAAAACAATTCTGATCTTGAAGTCTTGAAGGAAGTTGTTCCATAGTAATAGACAAAAGGTGCAAATATGTACATGTTCTGATATCTTGAAATAAAGACAATTTTGAGTTAATTGTATGAAGTTTAAATTTTTGTTAATGAAAGATTACAAGTCCTACCAGTTATTTCCATTTTTGTTAAGCATTTCATAATCAATGCTTAGGACTACTGTTTCATTCCTACTTAGTGGAATGAAAATTTGACTACCTGTTGGGGTAATACATTAGACTGTCATATATTTAGATTTTTTTTCCATATGCTGAGTTTTTCATATGTGCGTTACTGGTTGACCTTCAACAGTAAGAGTACAATTTATATCATTTTTTAATATGGGGTTAAATAAATATCCTATATGAAAACTTGGCTTCTACCTATTAATTTGAACCTTTTCACCTGGTGTTTGCTATCTGGTATGTTCAGGCACTGAGAACAATAATTCTTAAGTAACTAATGATTGTGTTTAAACACAAGCCATATTATTTAGTGAAGTGCAACAACAGGGGCACTTCATGTAGCAGTAGCTCTGTGAAAGTATGTATCCTTCTAATAAAAAGATGCAGTACTGAGAGAAACATTCCTTTAATAAGATGCAGTGTTATCAGCCTGATCTGTACTTAGACTTCTCAACTTGTAAGTGAATATAGCTAAATAATTTCAGGTCCCCTGAAAATAAACTTTCTTTTAATTAAAAATAATTCTTCAAATAGGTTGAGCTGCCAGTTGTTACCCAAACAAAACTAAATCGTGTTTCTGTGTGCCTTTTGCTATGCCATAGGGAACCAGGCAACGAGCCCAGCTCTTTAAGAAAAATGAGAGAGTCCTCGGAGGGATCTAGAGGTTCTAAGTATGTGCCTGTTAGGTTGTTTCACCATATACTCTAGTAGCGTTTGATTTCTAATATAACTTTATTCTATTGGATTCTCATCTCCTTTGACTAGTCTCTACTCTGCCTCTCAAGAGGCTAAGAAGGACTCTTGTCATTTGTTACTATCTCCCACTTTTAGTATATTCCACTAGTGTCAGAAGAAAAATGTTCTTTCCTGATTGATACAGAACCAGCTAGTTACTGTTGACAGATAATAATGCCTACAAATTTTTGGTGGAGCTGGAACCCTGTGGTACGTTCCTTGCCTTACACATACTCCATTGCAGGCCTAGCAGGTTACATCTACTCTACTAAAACCAGCCCAGGAACAAGGGAAGCCAGGCCTAATCACTCCTTTCTTTGTCTCTTACAGCCTTTGGCTCAGACTCAGTCTCTTCTTCCTACTGTAGTTCTGTTGACACAGCTTGTCGCAACCTAATGTAATGAAGGCTCCTCTTTGGAGCCTTCAAACTAAAACCTGTGGAATCACTACATTCATCAACTGTTAGAACAGCTATGTCTACAAAAGCATTTGATGGCACTGAAAGATAAAGTTTTAGTCTTTATGTTTGTCCTTTACTATGTGAAACACTGCAAATGCAGTACTGTCTATAAGAACCAGCTCATTCACAAGTGATTTTGGAGTTTTGAGGTTATTCCTCACCCCTGTACTTTTCTCCTCACTGTACTGATTCTCCCCCACCACCTCTGTGTTTTTCCTATATACTGTGCACTGTTTCACTTTGATTGGAATGGGTCACCAATTTTTAAAGGACATTTATAGAAGGGATTTTGTACAGAGCCGTCCAGAGAGAACCACAGAGGCGTTTCCGGGCATCAGAAAGACAGGTTTTTATGTGGAAGAGGAACTAGGTTGTACAACAGGTGTGAATACAAGTAATAAGTTAGGAATAAATTTAGATGCAAAGGAAGTAAACTTTGGAAGGGGTCATGAATATTTAGAGTATCTGCTATTTCACATACTTCTGATGTAGTCATCATTTACTGTATCATATTTCCAAATAGTCTGGCTGTTGGTGTGTGTATATCTTCACTTCCAAGAGCCCCATCTCTAGCGGGATCTACCAAGGCTCCACTGGATGTGCTTCGTCCAGCAGTGCTCACCCTGGAGATGACTCAGCAAGAGGGAGGGAGGGGAGGTTGAGGAAAACTGAGTGCAATCTTTAATCTAGGCCAAGGCTGTAGATATGAAGTGCCCCAGAAAGTCGGGCTCCCAAAGAACTCCTCCCAGCAGCAATGACAACTTGGTTCTGTAGAGGACACAAAACAGAATTCATTTTTTGTTCATAAAGTCTTAATTTTCTGCTATGGTCCCGGCATCATGTTATGCTGTGGAGATACAGAGATGTAAGACATCAACCAGACCCCATGGTGTGAATTCTAGGGGTGGAATAATGAGGACTTCCACAAGGGGCTGTCTGTGTTTATGCGTATAGTGTAAAGTCTCTAGCTTGAAGCATTTTAGGAACCATCTTTCAGAATTGTCTTTTAACATTTTCATTGGTGGCAAATCTACATACTTTGAGATTGAATTTGATTTTTGGAAACTACCAGAACTTACTCTGAACCAAGGCTGGTAATCTGGGTGTGGGTGATCAAACTAGCTGACAGTGTTTTGGTCAGAATAGGGTGTGACCATGAAATCACCAAACCTGTGAAAACGGTGTCACTGATTTTTTAAAAATACAAATGAAATCCAAAAATAATAATGCCTAACATGCCTTTACCATATATGAGATACAATG